GTAGAGAACGAGAGAGTGACGGTGTTACAACATAGGGAACGAGAGAGTGACGGTGTTACGACGTAGGGAACGAGAGGCTGTATTTGTTTTTGTAGGTAAAGTTACCTTCTGATGACGATGGATGCCACTATGATGATGAGCACAGTGTGCATACTGAAGAGAACCAGTCGGACAGCCAGCAGTGTGTCAACACCTCCTGTAAAACAGAAATAGGAAGTAAGCGGTTGGACTGTAGACGATAAACATCAAGAAGATATTATTTTATACAAGTCCTCTGAATCATAGTTTAGTTTCAACCTAGTGAAATAAACTAGTGACGTAGTATTAAATGAAGACCATTTATGGAGGGTTAGAGTGGAAGGATCCAACAAACAGAATTATTATTTCTTATGAAATAGATGCATGATGTTTACATGTTTACCAATGAGTAATAGAGATGTCACCATATAGAGTTTTATTATCACCATTATTGTCGGAGGAATTATCCCGGTTTACTGTTTTCATGATTGTTAAACAGAATATTTAAATTTTTTGTATCATCATCAACTATATCCATTAATTTTCTCATAGTAATCTAGAGTGGTTATTTATATTAAAACATACATTTCAAATTATAAGGAACTAAAAGATTGTAATTGTATTGATAGATAAATGTTTTCATCAGTAGTTTTAATGATGTATAATAATGTGTTTAGAGCTCGTGTTATGAAATCAAAGAGCTCATAATTCATCTCTAATATCTATTTTATATTAACGTGAAAACATCTTTAAACTACTGGATTTATTCAAGTTTATCAGAAAACTACATTTTTCAAATACAATAGATATTAGAGATGAATTATGAGCTGTTTGACTTCCTAACACCAGCTCTAAACACATTATTATACTTCATTAAAACTACTGATGACTAAATGTATCTATCAGTAGAATTACAATCTTTAATTTCCTAATCATTTGAAGTGTGTTTTAATATAAATAACCACTCTAGATTACTATGAGAAAAGTAACGGATATAGTTGATGATGATAATAAGAATAGACCTTCTAGAAATATTCTGGTAATAATCATGAAAACAAACAGTAAACCGGGATAATTCCTCCGACAATAATCATGATGATAAAGTTATATATGGTGAAGTCTCTATTACTCATTGACTTTGTAAACATCTCGTCGTCTATATTTTAGACTTTAATGCATCGATCTGACGCACTTTGAGAGCAAAGTTACCACAGAGAAACAAACCAGGTATTCTGTTCTCTACCTGTTCGGGTACGCTGTTCTCTACCTGTTCAGGTACTCTGTTCTCTACCTGTTCAGGTACTCTGTTCTCTACCTGTGTGGGTACTCTGTTCTTCCTCTCCAGCCTCCACATTCAGACTGAACGGATGGGAGAGTGTGCCGACGGTGTTCTTCAAATCACAGGTGTAGTTCCCAGAATCCTCTGCTTTCAGAGGGCTGAGGTGGAGGGAGGGGCCAGTGTATGTGAGAGCGTGGCCATCTCTGAACCAGGTGACCTCCAGTTGGTGGAAGGTGCACTCTGTAGTGCAGGTCAGTGTGACGGCTTCACCTCTCTTAAAGGAGCTCAGTATCTTCATTTGAGTCTTATCTGAATGATCGAAAGCAGTTTTATTCATTAATTGTTTGTTTTTCTCACAATATAATCAAAAAGAACCGATAAGAGTATCAATAAGAGTACTAGAGTGAATATGAACCGGACCGTCCTGATAAAGAGAGCCTGGCTAACTATAAATGATTATTAATATTATTGCCTTTATTATGTTTGACAGCATTATCAGATGATGCTCTTACCATCGACTGTGACTCTCACTCCTGTTTGGTTAGTGTAAAAGGATAACTTGTTTTCATCTTCCATTCTGAAGCGAAGAGTTTTATCGTCTTCCTTCTTTAGACTTGAGATCTGTAAAGTGCAGTTTCCCTTCGTGTCTCCCAGGTAACGATAACGAGGGTTGTTGGCGTTGTTTTGTAATGTGTTGTCGGTCACAGTCGGAGTGGAACCACTACAAATTTGATGGTTCTGGCACCAAACGACTCTGATGATCTCAACCAAAACCTCTCTTCCATCCTCAGTGACAGTCTTCCGTGGTGTGAAGGTGCAGGGGAGGGTCACTGTGGATCCTCTAACACCACAAACTGGATCTGAATAGATCACACGTTGACTCACAGCACCTGGAGACACAAAATGCAGTGAGTTTAGGAATAAAACATCTTGATTTAGTGCTTTGGTATGAAAACGTCATTAAAATGGACCTCACGTACTAAAACAGAAAGAGAGAATATAATAAAAGTGCACTTTCATCAGTTTGATGTTAAAAACTGAAACATGAACAAATATCAACAAGAGAACACTGAGTAACATATAACGTTCATGTCTTACCAGCCAGCAGTAACATGAAGCACCAGGAACTCTTTGGCTCCATCCTAACTTACTTTAATGTGTCGACTCAACTGCTTCTGGTTCAAATGTCCGATCGGTCCGCAGCACAGCTGAGAAAAGACTGTGACTGTGTTTGGAGGACGTGAGCTAATAACCACAGAGTCTAAACTTAACCACTGTGTGTTCTTGAGAGACACATCAGATCTGTAGACATCAACCACCAGGAAGATCCTCCCTGCTATCCTCTGATAGATAACTTATCTTTAGCTACAACAAAGATTAACCAAGTGGAAGCAGATACATATTTTTATTTCATTTACTTCGTCATAAGGCGTTTTTAGTTAAAAGGCAAATTTCGTTCTTAAAAAAAACCTCAATTTGAACGTGTCCGCACCACAAAAACAAGGAAGGATGTCAGTTCCCAGAAGGACGTTTAGAGGAACTTGTTTAGTTCCTATTTCACAGAATATACTCGCCCAGCACAAGAGGAACCATGAGTGACGTAAGTGAACCAATGTAGCACCACTAAGCACCATTGAGAAGTCTTTGCCGTGTGAAGAACAACACTAGACTTCTCTCCTCTCTGTTGTGAACTGGTTGGTCCAGACACGCCTACAGACAGGGTTGATGGTGGACATGAAAGCCTTCCTGGTTCAATCATCAGAGCCAAAGATGAGCAGCTGTGTGAGAACATAATCTGGTTCTTTTGATTCAAAAGTCAAAGCTCAGTTTGTGTTCGTTCACGTCACTTGCGTAGACTCGATGGAGAGGAATGGGGGGATACCTCCGTGTAAATACGAACGTTTCGTCAATCATAGCCGAGATAACCACTATTACTGCTCTGTACATGTTGTGGAAGTCCCAAATACCAGACGCCATCTTGTCTGGGTTCATAACATTGTCTGACATCGTGTGCTTAGAACAAAGACTTGGCTCTCACCATGTGCCTCTTTGAACAAAGAGAAAGACTTGGGCCTGCTTGTTCAGCCAAAAGCCTGATTTGAGTTTCAGACACCACCAAACCCCGAGAAACGTTTTCACAACTACGTGTGAAACCATAAAACTCTGCTTCACCCACAATAACAAGTAAGGACGCGAGAACAACTCTTTTAAAAGAACCTCGGTCACAGTCTTACATTCGCTGGACCAACAACAGAATGTTTTGTTTTTGGATCCTGAAGAAGAGAAGCGGACAGCTCGCCGAGGAAGACGCTCTGCCAACACGGAGGTTTTATTGCCGCGCAGCCGAAAGTGCCGCACCTGAGTTTAACTAAGGACTGGAAAGACCACGTCGACCATTAAGAAGACATCTCACAGTAAGAGGCTTACTTGGTGTCTGGGCATAGTTAGGTCATAGTGTGTTTATTACCTTGTTTGTGTTTTGCTTAAGTCACTGCATTGTTATAAGGTGTTGTTGTGTATGCTCGCGGACCGCCGAGTCCCATTATACTGTGTCATTACTTTGTGCATGTGTATTGTGATGATAGCTGATATGTGGTCTGTGCTCAAACTCACGTGTGTAATAGTACGCTGACTGTTGACATTGTGAGTGAACACTAACTAGGAGACTTAGTTTATAGTTTGGTTATTGGTCCTTGTTCTCAGGGTGGAGCCCCGTTATTATTAATCATTGTTAATAATCTTACTGACATTAACAATTATATTGATGTCAATAGTTTAATTTATCATATTTGCTGAGAACCAAACACGCTCCTGATAGATCCCAACAATGGACACCTGTTCCTCAGGTGAGACCTCTTCAGTGTGGAGACCTTGTCCTCAG